TGTATATCTTGTTTATATCCTTTACCCTTTGTATTTGAGTCTTGGGTTGTGTTGGGCAGGTTTGAAACAGGTTGGTTGAGCTTAGGAACCAAAAATAGTTGCCCAGATTTTTGCCTTCACGCTCGAGCGGAGCTTTTGACGCTCGAGCGGGCCCTTCGTTGTTGCTTTTCCGCTCGAGCGGGAGTCTTGACGCTCGAGCGTGATTTTCCATCTCCCAGTATTTCCTCTGCCGTGTTGGGCGCTCGAGCAGGAGTTTTGACGCTCGAGCGTGAGTTTGTGTGTGATGCTCGAGCGGGGAGTTTTGCGCTCGAGCGGGGACCTGGTTTAGCAAAAAGTTCTGGAAGTGTGTATCCGCCGCTCGAGCGGGATTTTTGACGCTCGAGCGGGAGTCTGTGAGTGACGCTCGAGCGGGGGTTTCCACGCTCAAGCGGGGCGACTCTTATATAAAACCGAGATCCGACTTTTTGGATCACTTTTTCACATCCTTTTCTCTCTCTTACTTTTCCAAAACTCCATTGTTGAGCCTCTCTCTCTAGAACCTTGCCTTCTCTCTAGGTATTGATCTAGTAAGAGTTGTTTTCTCACCTTTGGCCTTTACAAAAAAGTTGTTGATCGTCGAGGGCTATCTTTTGATCCAAGAATCTCGGGATTTGGAGCATTTCCATTTTATTCATCTTCTTCATTGGGTGTCACCTTTTGAGGTAGGGATTCCTACTCACTCTTATGGGTTTTAACCTAGATTTTAAGCTTGTTGTTTAAATGGTTGATTTTGGGGTTTAGGGTTTCAAAATGCACTAAAGAGGGTGTTGTGATTTTGGGCTCATAATATGTATTTTGGGTTTCAAAATGATGATATTGTTGTTGGATGTTGATATTGGAACCTTTGGGTTAATATTGAGAGTTGGGGAAGAAAGCCCTAAATTATTGTATAAATTAATTGGTATAATTAATTTGGGAAAATTGTGATTTTATGGAATTGAGTTGGAAATAATGAAATAGATTCATTATGTTGTGAAATGGTGGAGTTTGATTTATTAATCGCTCACTTTTGAAAACATTGACATTTTATCTGTTGGAGCTTTTATTATCTGCTTAGAAATAATTGCTTGGGCTACCGGTGGAAAGTAGTTTTGATTGTTGTAGACAATGCATGATGATTAGGCGAACTAAAACTAATTAGTTGGACGTGTCATAGAGTATGACAATTGATAGAATACATTAACGTTATGTATTGATTGATTGTGTATATGACCTATGTGTATATACGTTGTGTGTGTGGGAGAAGATAGGAGATGTACTCCATGATTTAGGGGAAGATAGGGGATGGACCTCTAAACCGAATGTTGTTTGGGAGGAGATAGGGGATGGACTCCACTGATACAGCTCATATGCTTGTCAGTTAATGTGTGTGATACAGCTCATATGCTTATCTATGGAAGTGTTGGTATAGCTCATATGCTTATCTGTTGAAATGTGGATACAACTTGTATGCTTATCTGTTGAGATGTTGATATAGCTACTATGCATATTTTTTTGTAAAATGTGAAGCGTTTAATATGAGTCACTGTCTCATGTAAGTTGTTGGCCAGGTTTTGAGCCGTTGTTGTAAATTGTGAACTTGATAAGAAATGGAAAATGAAATGAAACATGGACATAGTGGTCATGTAATGGAAACAGGTTATGAATTGATTTATGGGAATTAAACATTTATCAATTGCTAATGTCTTAGTTACTGCTCATACTGTGTTTAGCATATCTCTACTGGGCGTTGGCTCACCCTATATGGGACATTATTTTCAGGTACAGGTAGCATGCCACCTCCAAGGGCATAGCTTGGATGGTTATGGGAGTTGAAGACTCTTTTGATTATTTTGTTTGTATTACATGTATATCAAGCTAAGGGCTTATTTTGTATAGAGTTAGTACTCTTCTTTTGTGTAACCAAGTGTTGACTTGGAAAGCTGTAAGCCCGTAGGGCATTTCCTTTTGTAGTTAACATGTAATACTGTTGTAAGAACTACCCTGATGAATGGAAAGGTGTTGATTTTCTTATATCAATGCATGTCTATAGTGATGAGTTTTATGTATTATTTTGAGGGCGTTACAGATTATAAATGTGAAGAGTCTGTTTATAAAGCAGTTGTTTAGATTATGAATTTAGATAAAGATTTAAAAAGAAAAAGGGAAAGGAAAATAAAGAAAAATTTTAACTTATATTTTATTCAGATTTTATTTCTTTTTTCCTATTTCTTTTTTTTGTTTTCCTTTTCAAATCTCTATCCAAATTTATGATCCAAATACAAAATAGGCACATAAAAAAAAATTACACTGGGAAATGACATCTTGGTACATTTGTAATGAAAATTGATTGATTTGTATTACGTTAGGATTTTAGTATAAATTAAGGTAGCTCATAATTTTTAACTTGGGGTGCAACTCAAACAAATTCAATAAGTTGAGGGTTACCCAAGTAGTGTTGAGTGTTGTCTAACCCCGCCCAAGTCCAACCACTAACCTAATTTTGTGTGCCCAAGTCTAGTTCGAGCTCAATAAATTGAACTTGGGATAGGCCCAAATTACCCACAAATTAAAGCTGAATTTTTATAAAAACATTCTAACAAGTAACAAAATAAGAAACATAAGTATCAACTATGAAATCACATCAAAACAAATTAAACATCCTAGCCACATTAATAATACTAAGAATATCTCCAATGAACTCTTTAAATGAGATTTGTTAGCTATTATACCTATCTTCAGTATATTTTAGTCACTCCAATAGACTAACTATTACAATAGTTATTTTAACAAAATTTTTCAAAATTAGCTACATTTGAAGAGTCTTAGGAGGCTCTTTAAATAGTCTGTATGTATAGATAGATAAAATAAATACTAATGTTAGAGTACACAAATAAAAAAGAAATTAAGTAAAATAAAGAACATGCATTTTTTTGATTTTAACTAGTGAAAAATGAAGAGTACAGTTGGAATTGCTGTAAGCAAATATCACTGTGCTAGACTGGCCAATAATCCTAAGTAACAGGCAATAAGTTCACATTACAAACTGTTTGTACTATAAATTATTTTCTATCAATTGTGGCCTGTTGATTGTGACCAAATCTAACTTTATTGATTGTGGCCTGTCAATCATGGCCAAATCTAATCTTATTGATTATAACCCTTCAATTTTAGTCTATGGATTCAGACCAAAATTATCTTTTTAAATAATTATGAGCATATTTTATTATTATTGTTGTTGTTGTTATTGTTCTTCATGTTCTTGTTACTGTTTTTGTGCAGTGTGTAGCAGACGTGGGGCAAAGAATCCAAGATGGGCAAAGAACTCGGCAACGTGGGTGATTATGGAAGATGTTGCTTACGAAGTGAAGTAGTGGAATATAACTTGATGTGAAAGTGGGCTGCTTTCAGCAGTTACTAGAGAAGCACGGTTTCAAGCCTATAAATACGTAAGGTTGAAACAAAGAAACAAGATTCAGAAGTCATCAAACTTATCAGTCTTTTTTTTATTTTTATTTTTTATTTTTAGGAATATTTTAACTTTTAGCAGTAACTTTTAACAATTTGTAACATTATAAATTTAAAAGATTACAATAAAAAAAATTCTGTATTTATTTCACTCTTTCGATTGTTAATTGTTCCAAAGAAATCCTTGTACTTTCAAGACATTAGAATCTTTACATATTCGTCTGATTTTTTGTTTGGTTGTTTGATTAAAATTGTTGTTAAATCTCTATCAATCAAGACTTAACAAAAATTTTACTAACTCAAACATAAACTTAAAACAAATGTTGCAGCCGTTCATTCACTTCTTCAGTCTCCAATCCTCAATTCCATCTCCTAGTAATTTGAAGAAGAAAAAAAACAAAGAAAGTCAAAACAATTCGACTAATGCAAATCAAATTGAAATTGTAATAATTTATATGTATATTTAATATTTTTATATATTTAAATTTAAATTTGTAATTCAAGTTTTAGGTTGCTAGGAATCTTTGTCTAGGCCTAGCCTGGAATTTAATTCGGGCTTTAAATTGCTACATAAACCTATATTTTAAAAATATATTGTCAAATCCTTAAAAATTCAAGTTGGACATATATTGCTCGGTTTGAGTTGCCTGAGTAAAAACCTTATTTTTAACTGCTTAATTAGATGACAAGAAATTTAATTTAACTCTCTTGGCCTTAACTTTTCCAACAATGCTACGTGCACCAAAAAGAAAAAAAGAAAAAAAAAAGAAGATAAAATTCATTAAACCCTCGTGGTTTAACTGTAAAGCACTTTATCTCCTATATTTTAAAAATAGTCAATTATCCCCATCTAATTTGGATCGTTTTACAATTTACTTCTTTACCGTTAATATTTCTGTCCAAATAAACAAAGTTTGTACTTCATACTCTATCGATTATGGTCAGACTAATCAATATTCAACCAAATCAATACCCAATTTGATTATATACATATATATATATATGTATATAAAATTAAATAAACCTACATACATATATATATATATATATATTAACGGAAATTCTATGTAATGTGTATATGTAAACCTGTGTACGTATATATACATAATGAGTTAACTTAGTAAAATCCTTTGTGTAAACTTATGTATATGTAATGAGTTGACACACTGGTTCAAGAGGGTAAAATAGTAAATTTTTAATTTTGTTAGTAGAGTTAGGTGTTACAATTTAGTCCAAAACCATATGAGGGTATCCTATTAAACCACAAAGGATAAAATGAATTTTATCCAAAATAAAAATAAAAAATCAATATGTATCTCATTTTATTTTGAATTTAATTCTCTCTGCGTGCATTGATTTTTTCTCTACTTATTTCTTTCTACTAGTTAGACCCAATGCATATTTAGAAAATTTCTATATATACAAGATGAGTTTTTTTTCTTTATTTTTAAATTTTTTTGTTTTACCAACAAAAAATTTATTAATAAAATGAGTATACATTGGAGAGAAACAAGAACAAAACCACTCATCTCCAACATATAACAGCCACATTAACTGTAAAACACTAAAATATCAAAACATTACGTACAATTACATACTTGCTGGCAAGCTACTTAGATACCAACATATAAGACCAAAAGCAAACAAAAGGAACTCAATTAACCAACAAATCAAATAAATTAAAAGAGGAAATATCTCTATTGATATCATTTCCTCCTTGCTTTGGTGAGAGTGATCCCCAGTAGTGGTAGTGCCGCCAATCTGTAGGCAGTAAGCACCAAATTGAGGTCCCCTAATTGTGCCCATATGAGGGTAACAGCAGTATTAATGGAGCTATGGTGTCACAGAAAATGAATATGTGAAACCACTTGTGTTTTAGCATAGTTGGCATGCCTTGGTCAGGTTCAATGTTGTTATAACGACTGGGTATTGTGCAACCAGCTGCAAAAGTTACAGTGGCAATGAGGGTGGACACCAATAGAAGAGTGTTGAATCGGTCCTTATAGCTGTCTATGTTCACTTGCTCCAGTTGCATAGATGCTTGTTTCTTTTTAGCATTGACGGCTTTTCAACAGTAAGCTAGTGGTGCACCAGCAGCCTTCAATGCAGTCCATGTTAACCGTCGCAAGATAAAAATGTCCCACAAATTTAAACTATGACCACCTAATGGCTATTGAAATAGCAGGCCATTAAAATTCCTTCCAGTCAATGCTAAATAATAATTCGTAGTACTATGAAAAAGAATGTTCACACACAGACAACCTTTGGAGAACTTTAGCTTTAGCACACTAAGTGAAGAAGCATTTCGAGATTGTATATATGGACTGGCACATGATTCACAATAGTTACCATTACAAAACATTAATCATGAATAATAACAAGGGAAACTTGCGTATAGGTCCTAAGTGAACTTATTGTCTAATAGGTCCTATGGGAAAAATTTGTTATAAAAAAAATACCAATTGTAAGTTTTAGCGACAATTTATAAAAATCATGACAAAAAAAAATCACTAATTGTCAATTTTTAGTGACGTATATAAAAAATTATTTTTAACAACAATTTTACCAAGACTTATTTTTAATAGGACTTGATAAGAATTAAGTCCAACTATTAGGACCTATTAGTAGTTTACCCAAACAATAGATATAGCTTTGCTTGGACCCTATTTTTGACATATTAATGTAAGTGGAATTGATGCAAATAAAAATAGATAAATAACATGAAGAATCAAGAGCAGACATACCTTCATTTTGTTATGTTTGATTAGGTATCTGAAGTGTAGGGTTATTTAATTAGCTGAGTGCATACCTTTCGAAATGAGGACATTCTTTCCATGTAGTATTCAGCAGAATCAAGAGCAGACATACCCTCATTATTCACTATAAGTCCACTCTTTCATCCCATGTTAGGGTACCAACAATCTTTGGATGCCAATCCAAGGTGGCCAAATGCAAGGTTGTGTTTCCATGCTTATCCCTCATGTTTATAAAACTTCTCGACCTCAGGAGTTTGGAGAATGTAACTAACCATGTTATGTCCTCTGCTCTTGGCTGCAACATGAAGAATATTTTGACCATGACAGTTGAGCCGTTCCCTCGAATCAGGCCAATACTGAAGCAACCCCCGAACAACATCAACATGGCCTTTAATTGATGCTAAATGAATAGGAAGTAAGCCATTGTTGTCCCTTGCAATAGCACCTGAACTCTGTCTTCCTAACAAGTACTGAACCTCTTCAAGATAGCCCAATCATGCAATCAGGTGAAGTGGAGTTCTTCCTTCTTTATCTCTTAATCGAATGAACCTTGGTTCTGATTTCAATAAGGCATCAAAAACACCTGGGATTTTAAAATAAATTGAGAAACAAAAATGCAAAAACCAAAGAGAAATCAAGAATAAGTGTCAGAATTACCTCGGTTTCTTTTTAAAATGGCAGCATGAATAGGTGATTACCCTTTAAGTCTTTCATTTGTATTTTCAATCCCAACTGTATCACATAGAATATGCGTGACAAGTTCCTAAAACCCTACTTCAGCAGCTAGAAACAGAGCTGATTTCACTTCATTGTTCAGATAACATAACACTTCTGGATCTACCGTGATCAAATAATAAGCTACAACTTGGTGACCGTTCATCAAGGCCTCATGTAATGATATGTTGCCCTTTTCATTTTTTACCCTCAAAAGCAGATTATCCCAATCAACATCTCTCTAAATTTTCCCACCATTTTCAGAACACATTTGAATCCCCGGAGCATATAAATCAACCAAATCAATGTCAAACACTAAAGTACTTTTTCCCTTTTTTTCTCTTTTTGTTGAGTACTCAATAACAATGTACTTGATAAAATACTTTGAAGTAGTCATCCTCAACATACAGAAGCTTACTTACCCAAAAGAAAACATACAGAAGCACAAGAATTGCAAAAAGTCACGCTAACTGACCTCTGAAGCAACAAAAATTATTGAGATTACTTCAAAGAGACATAACAATCGAGTAAAACTGATACAAGGGAAGCCAAATACTCACCTGAGACCCAGGGAAGATATCAGCGAGAAGATTTTTGTACCGCTTCACAGACTGTCTCGACCTTGCCCGGAGGGAAGGATAGAAGAAACAAACTATACCACAAATGGGCAAAACCCACCTCAACATAACCCCCATTTTCCAAGGAATTGACTTCAAACCCCTCCCCAGAAAAACCAAATCACAAATTCAAAGCAAAATTCACCAAAACAACACTAACCCAATTGACCAAATGAACAATAATTTAGAAGAATTCCCAAAAATTTCATTTTTGTGGCAATTTAACGAATTGAACACAACAAAATTGCCAAAGAATAGGTCAATAAACATATAAATTTTGCAAAATTCAAACAAACTTATCAAAATCTAAATCATACCCACCAATCGAAACAATACTAAAATTCATATACTGAACAATCCAATTGTTAAGATTGTGATCTAGATAAGCCTACCAACGAACGAACAAAATTGAGACAAAAAACAAAAAGGGTCTAAATATTTTTTGGGTGGGTAAAGGGTCTAAATATTGATGAGTAAAGGAATGAAAAACTAAATAATTTCCACAAGAAGCTCTGGTTATCAATCCAAATGCCAATAATTAACGTAAAGAAACTAAAAATTGAGAGAATACTCTTCCAAAGGCCCACCCCCATATGGACCTCTACTAGTATAAATCCTCTACCCACCAAGCAAGCTGCCATATCTCCCCTCAATCAATCTTCTCCAAAGACTATGCCTCTTTAGTGTGAATCTCAATAGCCATTTTTCTAATATGGCCTTACCAAATAAGTCCAGCTTCCTAATCCCAACACCTTATTGAAACCTCACTACAAAAATAGATTTCCATTAACTACTATACAATCTTTAAATTCTTTCGATTATTAACCGATTTTTTAAAATTTAGCTGAAATTCCAACCAAACTAATAGACAATATAAGAAAGCCATTCTTTCCCAGAATGCCAATTTCATCAAATATTCAGAATTTATAGCCGATTTTTTGCTGTCTGAAACTTGATCAATTCTAATTCAATCAACCAATTTGAATCCAACTCTTGCGAAACTTGAATAAATTAGGAAAATTTTAAAGCGTTGTTCCCAAACAATCAATTTAGCTATGATTTTCTACATAGAATTATAGCAATCTATTTAAAATTACAGCCAAAACAAGAAAACAGAGGCAACCTCTGAAAACCGTACAATTAACATATTAAGGAAATAAAGGCAGATGGAAGAACTCAAAAATCTTAGAACTCCACTTTTTAAAAATAATTTGGCACCTTCAGACAACATAGTGACCCAAATAATAAATTCTTCACTTAAAATTGAGGCGCCACAAAATAACTACCTCACAATACCTGTTTCAATCAACTCTATACGAAAAAACTTGGGGACCTAAGCTACTAAGGTTAGTAACTCACAAGTATTCCTCCAAGACCCTCAGAAGAATATGCAAGGACAAGTTCCCTCTCTCATTTCTTATACCTGGTGATTATTAAAGGAAGAAACAAAAATAAACAAATAAATAAATTTATAAAAATTAGAAGAAAAAAAAACTCAAAACCGATCTAGCGTGTTGATGTGCACAACCATATTTTTTAATCAAATAACAACAGAAACAGATCACAATTCAATTCCACTGGTTGTCAGATTTATGGCAAACCAAGCCACACTGCTATTGATTGCTGGCATCGAATGGATCCATCTTTCCAACCACTGTCTTCCTCATCTCCAGTTCCAGCTAATCCCTCAAACTCAAGAGCCTATGCAGCAACAATTCCTTCATCTTCTTACAATTCTTCACCACCTCGTTCTTCCTCTGTGCCCCGGTACATTGACTCTGTTGCTACAAATCATCTCACGAATGATCTCTCAAATTTCCATCTCTCACAGCCTTATGAAGGACAGGATCAAGTGACTGTTGGTAATGGTTCCTTTTTGCCCATTCATCATATTGGCACAGGTCTTTTGCCTCTCTGTTCTTTTACTTTGAACAATTTGTTACATGTATCTGCTATTGCGTCCAATCTTTTGTCTGTTCAATAGCTCACTCGTGATCATAATTGTGTTATTATTTTTTATGCTAACTCTTTTCAAATCCAGGACAAGCTTACGAACAAAATTCTTCATAGTGGATCTAATGTGGATGGCTTATATCAGTTCTCTCCTTCTCATGTTGCTTTACCACAGGCCTATCATGCTCACTCACCTGCTTCTGTTAGTGCACTCACTTGGCATCAACGATTGGGGCATCCTTCCCCTTTAAAGTTTCAACACATTATCAAGCATTTGCCTTATTTTTCTTCTGATCATACTGATTGTTCTACTACTTGTAATAAGACTGCTTCTTGTACAAACTGTGTTGTTGCTAAAATTCATAGACTGCCATTCAAGCTCTCTAATACTTCTGTGAATGCTCTCTTTTCTTTGGTTCATAGTGATATTTAGGGACCCTTTAACTCTTCTGCGAATAGCTTTAAATACTGTTTTTTGTTTATGGATGACTTCAATAGTTTTTTTTGGGTTTACCCCTTACATTACAAGAATGAAGTTTTTGCTAAGTTTTTAGACTTCAAATCTTATGCTGAAAATCAGTTTCACACCTCTCTTAAAATTTTACGCACTGATGGTGGTTCTGAGTTTGTTAATAAGAAGCTTGATTTATTGCATCTAATGGAATCATTCATCAGCAGAGTTACCTCTATACTCGGTCTCAAAATGGTGTGGCTGAGAGGAAGCACTGACACATTTCTGAAAAAACTATTGTTCTTATTCATCAGTCAAATTTGCCTCTTTCTTTTTGGTTTGATGCTATCACTGCTTTAGTTTTTCTCATTAATCGATTGCCTAGCTCTACTTTGCATAATGTCTCGCCCTAGGAGACTCTTTTCCATCATCCTCTTGATTATTCTTCTTTTAAAGGGTTTTGGCTGCTAATGTTTTCCTTGGCTCAAGCCTTACACTTCTCATAAACTTCAACCCCAAGTCTACCTCTTGTATGTTCTTGGGGTATCACCCTTTCATGAAAGGGTATCGGTGTTTAGATCCTTCACAGGTAAAATTCATATCTGCAGACATGTTCTTTTTAATGAATCTTGCTTCCCCTTCTCTTCTCTTCCTCATACTCCTCTTTCTCCTTCTTCTTTATCTGGTTTTTTCTAGGCCCTACTCCTGTTTCTCATCTTGTTTCTCAACCTTCTCCTCCTTCAGGACCTGTTTCTCCACATTCAGTTCCTTCAATTTCTTCACATTCAATTCCTTCTGTTTCTCCACATTCTGCTTCTTTAGTTCCTGCTTTTCCTCATTCAGTATCTTCTCCATCCCTATTCCCTCCTCCCATTCCTATTGATTCTCTCTATATAAATCTTCATTTGCCTCCTCCTCCTTCTGTCCCTTCTCTAGTTTTCAATTGTCATCCTATGCTTACTAGGTCCAAGACTCAAACATCTTTGTGTCTTGGTGCTTCTGTTTTTGAGCCTTCTCTATTCCTTACTACTGAGCCTTCTACTGTCAAACAAGCTGTGTCTTCTCCTGTCTGCGTTCAAGCTATGCAAGAAGAATATAATGCCCTTCAACAACAGTGTACCTGGGATCTGGTTCCTCTTCCTTCTCACAAAGTTGCTATAGATTGTAAATGGGTATATCGCATCACAAAGAATTCCGATGGAAGTTTTGCTAGGTACAAGGCTCGGTTACTGGCCAAGGATTGTTTACAACAAGAGGGTATTGATTTTCAAGAAACTTTTAGCCCTGTGGCTAAGCAACCAACCATCAGAATTTTACTCTTCACGGTTCTTCATTTTCAGTGGACTTTGAAGCAATTGGACATTTCCAATGCTTTTCTTCATGGTAAGCTTGAGGAGGAAGTGTTTATGTTACAACCACCTGGGTTTGTTCATTCCTCCCATCCTACTCATGTTTGTAAATTGAAGAAGGCCTTGTATGGTCTTAAACAGGCCCTAAGGGCCTGGTATTCCACTTTTTCAGCTTTTCTTCTATCTCAAGGATTCATTAATAGTCATTCAGACTCCTCTCTTTTTGTTCAGAAGATTACCTCCTATATTACTATCATCCTCATTTATGCGGGTGATATCCTTTTGGCTGGTAGTAATTCAAGTCTTATTGATCAGCTTCTTCTTCAAATGCACAAGGTTTTCTCTATGAAAGAACTTGGCGAAATTTCATATTTCCTTGGTATCTCAGTTCAAGCTTAGGCTCATGGTTACTTTTTATCTCAACAAAAGTATGCCACCGACTTACTCTCCAAAGCTGGCATGCTTGACTGTAAACCATGCTCTACTCCATTAGTTGTCAAGCCCCCTTTATCTGCCATTGACTCCTTGCCCTTTGCCAATCCTTCTCTTTATCGCAGCATAGTTGGTGGCTTGCAATATCTTAGAATTAATAGGCCTGACTTGGCTCTCGCAGTAAATCAAGCTTGTTAGTTAATGAGTTCTCCTACCAATGGTCATTTTCAAGTGTTAAACGCCTACTTCGTTATGTAAAAGGGACCATCTCCCATGGTCTTAGTTTTACAGCTGGTCCCCTTTAACTGCAAGCATTTTCTGATTCCAACTGGGCTGGGGACACTTCTGATAGGAGGCCCACTTCTGGGTTTTATGTTTTTCTTGGCTCGAATTTGGTTTCATGGTCTACTAAGAAACAAAGCACTATGTCCAAATCTTCAACTGAGGCCAAATATCTGTCCTCAGCTCACACTGCAGCAGAGTTATGCTGGTTGCAACAATTGTTAAAGGATTTGTCTGTTCCCACCTTTGTTTTCATGACCTGTATGACGATTTCTGGCGAGGAGATGACGATGGTGGACATTTCGCCAAGTTGGAGGTGCATCAAGGGTCCAAATTTTGTGGCCAATTTTTTCAATATGTGATGGGCTAGTGATGAGCCAAGAAGTTGGTGAATGTTTCCTATGAGAGGTAGTTTTCTTGGACCTGGGATAGTTTTGGAATAGAGTTCTTGGGTCTGAATCTCTTCATGTTGATGATTTTTGGAATAGAGTTTTCTTGGACCTTAGGTTGATGATTTTTGCCTATGCCGACTGAAAGATCGAAGTCAAACACATATGACCTAAGAAAACGGTGTATTATCATAAACCCACGTAATTGTTAGCCAACGAATATTTCACAAGTAACCCTATGTTTGATTTGACAAAAAATATTTTTAATAAAAAAAGGTTTTTTTATATTTTCAATAAATTTGTTTTTCGTTGATTTTTGTTTCAAAAATATATGAAAATTATTTTACAAAATATGTTTTCTGCTCAACTAGAGAAGAATACATTGAATCCATTTCTACAAAGTAAATTGGGAAGCAATCATCCACCAACCATTAAGTCCGAGCGTACACCGAGAAAGATTGCCCACAATTTGTCCCGCATAAATTACTATAAGAAACACAGTCAACACACTTGGCGTGGCTTTTACTACATTGCCAAATATGAAAAGTTGTAAATGGTATGGGCCATAGTCACTAATTTGTCCATGTGAGTCATACATTCACGGCATTACATTATTAACTAAATTCGAGTCAAATTTGAGTGGCCATGCGAAAATTGTGCAGGGTGTGGAAGTTATTACAAAAAATTTAAAAAAAATCACATGTTCAAGACTTAAAACTGTTGCATAGGGAAAACAAACACTTGCCACTAGATTCTCACAATAATTCAATTTCTACTATATTTTGTTTACAATCAACTAGTAACTATATTTTATACTGCTCATAAAATATTTCCTTAGCTGAGTCATTTGACTCTAGTAGGTTTATAATTGAAGTTCGTAAGACTGTGTTTGTGTTTGGGTCATGGATTTGGAGAATGATTTGTGAAGGAAAAAGAAAATGGACGAGAAATGTGAAATAAGATAGGTTTGTGTTGTATCAGGAAAGATACTAGAAGCAAAGATACTGAAATTGTGAAGAACTGGCTACTTCCATCATCTAAAAGTTACGGTTTGCTTTGTTTCTGCTGCATTTCCGGCCTATTTTCTTTATCATTTCAGTAATTATAGGATCAAATTTTAGCTTGAGGCATGTACATCGACACAATGTCGTACCAAATTTTCTTTTCTAGTCATCCAAACACAGAAAGAAGGAAACAGAACAGAGCAGAGAAAGAAAAAACAACACAGCTTGGAATGCAGCCCAGTGAGCAAACTCAATTGCAAGAACTTTAGCAATTCAGAAAATTAAATTATTCAGCATACTTTCTCCTCCTATTATCAACCATGTCCTCCCATTCAAAGAAAAGCTAATTTCCAAGCTGAACAGTCAAAGAATTCCTCCACAATCTTAATTTTGAGTGAACAATCATAAAACAACCTTATCTCTACATATTGGATGAAGTCTGTTAATGTGCTATATCTTCTTTCTTGTCACACATTTCCCAATTATGACAATCACAAACAAGAGGGGGAAAAAAACAATGTAACAAGTATACCACGTTATCATCAACACGTGGTGTCACCATTCATTTATAATTTTTTTAACTCTCAATGACATTTCCGAGGAAACGCCAAGTTACTTGCACTCGAGGATTGACATCGACATCCACCTTTCAATGGAAATTTGAGGGCAAGCGGCCATTCCCTTGATTCCTACTAATAAGAATTTTACTCCATGAGAAATTGAACAAAATGGGCTGAATCAGCCTATTTCTTGCGTGTACAAATTGAATCCTTTTTTGAGAAAGGAACTAAAGATGGAATGGTTTCCCAGCTAGAGAGAAAAAAAATTCAAGAATCCTCTTTTTTTCTATAATAGAACTGATGTTTCTTCAGAACACTAATAGATTAGTGAAGCTTGAAACTATCTTCAATTGACAACTCATTTCCATTTACATTAGATGACAATTTCCATTCAAAAGCTTGTAATTTACTACTCTATCAGAGACTTCATGACTGTCAAAGCATATATTTACTGAAACAACAAAGACAAAAGGCAGTCATGTGACAAGGCATTAACATGTTATTCCATAGTCATAGCACATTTGCAGTCTTGGAAAAAGAAATGAAGAAAAAAATGTAACTTATATTTTATTTGCATTTCACTCGCTTTTCTCTTTTTTATTTTCAAATCCTGACCCAAATCCATGATCCAAACACAGATTTAGGAAACAAAAAAATTCAACACTGAGAAATAAAATCTTGTTACGTTTGCAATGAAAATTGATTGATTTGTATGGCCAATTTTTTCGAATGAACTTTTAGCAATTCAGTTAGGATTTGGTTTAAATTAAGGTAGCTTGTAATTTGTAACTAGAGGTGCAACGTGAGCGGGTGCAGTAAGATTGAAGAGTTATCCAAGTTGTTTTGAGAGTTGCCTGAGGCCCCCAAGCCCGACCTCTAACCTAATTTTGTGTGTCCAAGGCAGCCTTGAGCTCAATAAATTGAACTTGGGCTATGCTCCAATTAACAACAAATTTGAGCTGAATTTTTTTTATCATCCACCCTTCAAGGATGACAATATTTTATCAACCACCTTTCAAACAAGCTAGACCAACATTTAAATATTGATAGCATTAAAGTAACACCAAGTAATTATTTAGTATTTAAAAAACATAGTGGAGACAACCAAACCTATGCTCATTTCCACCACTTCAACTTCAAAAAATTATTTTTTGTCATAAAGTATTTAATGAAGATTCCTAGAACAAAGCCACATGAAAAACGTGACAAAATCCAAATGCTAACCATAATCGGAACCCCACGAGTGACAGAAGGCATTAACTCTTGTCATTCTAGTCATCATCCACCAGAACACAAATTGGGATCCCAAAATTTTGTTTAAAAAATTCTTGCCACAGTTATAAAATTTTAACAGCCTATCACCCCTTTAAATCCAAGTCTGTTCTAGCTCTTTCAAACGCTTCAAAGTCTAGAACCTTTCTTTCACCTTTTCAAAGCCAAATCATAAAAATAACTATATAACCTTAGGCATGTAAATCCTATGGTCTCATGTGTGACATTAACTTCTTCACTGGTCCCTAAACCACACGACCTGCTACCCAAGCTCCCTAATTATTGCCACCAGGGCTTTGGGTTGCAGGATACCAAAAATACTCTCAAATGTGGAGATTAATATCTTCATTGGATGTGTGAGCTTGTGGCCAGCCAATAAAACTACACAAATCCTTTTATCTCCTTCATGGAGTAACTAATATTTTTAATGATACACATACCAAACTCAAACATGAATTTGCTAAGCCAATATTTTTACTTATCAAACAACTTGGCATCAACTCAACAACTTGAATTTTTAAAATATCTAATATGTTCCTATTCATGGCAACACTTGCACCAGTAAAATTTCACAAAAAATTAAATATGAGCGACCTTTTCAATCAATACTCTCCATATCACCATTTTCATACTACAATTAATCACAAAATTCCCAAGTCTATAGAACAAGTGCTAGTAAATATCTCTAGTTTGGTCCCCCAATCGCCATTGAAGATGCAAAAAAAATAGAATAGACTACAATAGCAACGAGTAAAAGCAATGCTCAAAGATTAACATATAACATTATTTTCAATGTGAATTCTCTATCTAGTAGCCAGCATTTTTATTACTCAAAATGATTAAGAATGTAACAAGGGGAATGGTTTGAGTTGTAACTTGTAAGATTGCATTTCAAAATTAAAAACTTGGCAACGCCTGGTCTTCTATGACTGAAATCCAATTTAAAAGCAACTACATACAAAAGTGAAAACCTCTAAAGGTTGCTAAACGATGCGAGAAAAAAAACAAGAGTCGTGACATGAAACTCTTATTTAACTCAGTGCTTTAAGAAAACTAAACAACTTAAAATTCTGAAATTCATTTTATCCCCCCCCCCCCTTGCTGTAACTATTATCTCATTTCCAAGCCTTCGAACTTTATCAATTCTTCAAATCTCTCGCATATCCCCCAAAATTCAGAGCACTATATCGACATAAAATAGAGCTCCAATTCACAATCTTGACTTCACACAAATCAGCCCACTAAGCCAACAATTGCTTGATAACTACTTTATGACTATTTTCAACAATTCATGGACTTAAACAATTCTTTCATTTGATCAAATGAAAGACTTTCACTTTGACTTTATTGCCATGTGTCATCATTCAATTGATTCACCTGTTGGTAGGAAATTTTACAAAAATGAGTGCAAATAGAAATGTACAGTACTAATCAAGGTTCAGAACCCCAATAGTTTTCTTGCCTGTGACCTTTTCAATCAGTGCTCTTCAAATCAGCATTTTCTTACCATAATTAATCACAAAATTCGCACATCGATATGGAAACAAGTGCTAGTTAATATCTCCAATTTATCCCCCAATCGCCATTGAAGAAGAAAAACAAAATCAAATTATCAACAATTTTGTTTATTGATAAAATGGTGTGGAAGAGATGATGCTGGAAGCTCACCTGGACTACAATAGCAACGGGTAAAAAACTGCTCAAAGAGTAACATATAATATTATTTTCAATATGAATTCTCTATCTAGTAGACAACAATTCTATCATTGTAAGATTGCATTTCAAAGTTAAAACCTAGGCATGGCCTAGTCTTCTGTGACAGAAATCCAATTTAAAAAAAATTACATACAAAAATACAAATCTCTAAAGGTTGCTACATGATGTGACATAGAAAACAACAAAAAACCATGACATGAAACGCTTATTTAACTCAATGCTTCAAGAAAACTAAACGACTTAACAAACCTTTAGAATTCAATACCGCAGCAAGGGTAAAGCTTTTGAAGTGGTCCTGAATGGCTGTTATCCAGATGCTCACCCACTCAAATGCAGTAGCTAGGTGAAACACCCCTTCAAGTGGATACCATTGCTTTATTGTGCTACTTAATGGAACAAACCTAGTTTTGAAATAAGAACATCAATAACTCAAATACAGCATATAAGTAGAAATCACAAAAGATAATTCAACAAAGTAATGCTGCAAAGATAAATTCCAATTACCGAATAATGCCATTTTTCTTTATTGATTTCTTCTTTCACTGCATCAGTGGCCACCCTTCTTAGACCTTTTCACCTTCTTATGATGTTTTCCTTCAACAATTTTCATTAGCCATTCTGGTCTTCGAGTTACAAACATAAGATATCCCATAATCATTCCAAATAGAAATCCGCATCCATACCCCAACACTACAACTTGCCAGTTAAATCCGCTTGACTTGTCTGAATTCTCATCTTGTTGGAGTGTTGGTGGAGGTGGCAGTGGCAGTAGTTCCTTACATTCTTTTGATAAAGGCAATCCACATAAGGCCAAGTTCCCACCATATGAATCACTTCCAAATGTATTAAACTGGCTCCCTTGAGGAATTAGTCCTGCTAGTTGGTTGTTCGAAAGGTTTAGTACCTCAAGAAACGTCAAACTTTTCAATTGCTGAGGAATCTCCCCAACAAACTTGTTTGAGGAAAGATCCAATGATTCAAGATTTTTCAAATTTCCAAGTGAAGTTGGAATGCGGCCTTCAAGGTTGTTATGGGATAAGTTAAGACCCCGAAGTGAATTAAGCTTCCCAATGGATTTCGGAATCTCTCCTTGGAATTTATTTCTTGAAAAATCAATGATTGATAAGACTGTTAAAATTCTTGATAATTCAATCTCATGTCCTTTAATCATCACCACCACAGAATCTTGATAATAGCTGTCACCCATGTATTTCAATTTCATTTCATGTTCATCAACATTCATCATAGCTCCAAATTGTTTGATATAATTTGTTGGCAAAAGGCCAGTGAACTCATTGCAAGACATGTCAATAATTCTCAACTTCGGAAAAGGATGTTTGCCTTTGGTCTTGGAGGTGCCTATGTGACCATGAAACCTATTAAATCTCAAGACAAGAACCTGCAATTCTGTAAGAGTTTCCAACCAGTAAGGGAATGTATCATTTATCTTGTTTTTTCCAAGATCTAGAACTTCCAAGTATTCACAATTGAGCAAAGATCGCGGAACTTGTCCTTCAATTTGGTTGCCATTCAAGTTAATATTCCTTAGCGAATTGCCTTTGGTAAATGTTGCAATAAAGGTGCCAGAAAAGCTATTGATCCCTAAATTCAGCACCGAGAGACTGTTGCTCAAGTTTCCCAAACATTGTGGAATCAAGCCACTCAAACTGTTATTAGACAGACCAAGAACTTGAAGTGAACTCAGACCGCAAATCAATGGAGGGATTTCCCCGCTTAATTTATTGTTTGAGATAGAGAAAACAATTGTGGTGTTAGGTGGAATAGGGAGTGGTCCTTGGAGTAAGTTGGAGTGCAGGTCAATATATTGTAGATTCTTCCATGGAAGATGCTCTAAACTTGTAAGGAAATTATCTGAAAGATCTAAATTTTGCAATGAATCTTTCCCCACATTGAATAACCATTTTGGAACTTCACCGTGAATTTGGTTGTTTGAAAGGTCTAGAGAACGCAATTTGGCTTGTTCTCTCAAGAAGTTTGGGAATTCGCTCAAGTTGCAAGAAGCTAATCCTATAACTTCAAGGTTGGTCAAGGTAGAGTTGACACTATTGTTGATGCTCAATGAGAGACCATTATATGAGAGACCAAGAGAGATCAGATTTTTAAGCTTTAGAAGCTTATCTAGATCCAATACACCACTTAAGTTATTTGACGAAACCAACAAGCATGTTAGGTTCTGGAGTTCATAAACTAATCCTGGAATTGGTCCCTGTAGCTTATTGTTATTCAATTCTATCTCAACCAGTGAAGGCAGAGCAAACAACGAAGATGGTATTGTCCCATTGAGTGAGTTATAACTCAAATAGAGAGAAGTTAGTTGGCTCATGTTGCCGAGGGAATCCGGTATTTGACCGTTCAAATTGTTTCCGAAAAGATCCAAGTTAGTAAGTTGGCTCATGTTGCCAAGGGAATCCGGTATTTGTCCGTTCAAATTGTTTAAGGAAAGATGCAAGCTATTAAGTTGGCTCATGTTGCCAAGGGAATCCGGTATTTGTCCGGTCAAATTGTTTAAGGAAAGATGCAAGCTATTAAGTTTTGTAAGGCTCCAAACAGAAGCTGGAATGGACCCCGAAAGGTTGCAGTTGATGACGTACAAAATATTCAAGGCTTTAAGATTGTCGATTGATTCAGGCAATTGGCCAGAAAAACTTATGTCGCCAAGATCAAGAAACTGAAGGGAACTAGTTGCATTGAAGTATGGAAGTTTACCTGTGAGGTCCTGATTTCCCCATACAAGGAGCTCTCGTAGGTTTGGAAAGTGAAAAATGTTTTCTGAGAATTTCCCACGCAGTTGACAATTGCGAAGACGGAGAGATGTCAAAGAAGATAGATTTAGCAAAGCACGAGGTAAAGGTGAAGAGATATTCAACGAATCAAGGTGTAGTTCTCTTAATTGGGTTAGGTTTCGAAGGAGCATATTGAAAGTGTGTTGTTCAAGTCTCACCGGAGAATAATCAACACCATAAGGATTATAATTCATAAAAGAGAGATCAAGGGAAATCAATTTGGACAGATGGCAGATTTTTGAAGGAATTCGGCCAGTAAAATTAGAGCAAGAGAGGTTGAGATGGGTCAAACTTGGAAAGGAGCCAAAATCAGGTGAAATTGTAGAGAAATTGAAGTCATTGAAGGCAAGATTGAGGGTTTGGAGGTGACGAAGGTGGAAGAGGGTGGTGTTGGGTTGGATGGTGCCCTGAAGGTGGCTGCAACTGAGGTCAAGTCCAATCACATGACCATTCGACCAGTCGCAGGTGACCCCCTCCCACGAGCAGCAATCACTACTCTCATTCCAGAACACCATTTTAGGATGAGAATCAGATTCACAACGTGGAGAAGAGGCATTAGCAGTTATGGTAAATGTTGTTTTAAATTGGAGAAGTGAAAATCTCTGGTCCTCAAGGCAGGTATGGCGTGCAGAAGTAGAAAAAGAAGAAGAAGACGAGAGAAATAACAGAAGAAATTGATGAAGAACAAACATAACCCAACTCATTTTGTTTTCTTACAGGTAGAAGGATTCGGAGAGATATGAGTAGGAGAGTAGTTTGATGGATTGTGATGGGAAGGAAGAAATGTATTACTCATTCTTATACACACTGCTGAGTCTTTCTATGGTGGTGGTTGGTGAATTTTTTTATCCATCAGCATCTTGACTTTTAAGTTTGCAACAGCTAGTCTTTGTCTTTAATTTCAGTGGCCCCAAAACTATTAGCAACGGTTTTCCATAAACCACATGGGAAATTATATGAGTAATCTTTACATTTTGTTTTTTATGCCATTTTTAGTTTGAATAATTTTGATAAGTCCAATTTTGAATTTTAATTTTAAATTTTGTGTTAATTTAGTTCAAATAATAATACTGATTAGGGTTCTTGAAAGAAAATATTACTGAATTGATTGAGATTGACTCATTGAATTGAACAAGTTTATAATTTTTTATCTATAAATGCATCACACGTGCCATTTATGTGTCCATTTTTTATCCAAAAAAATTAAAAGTTATAATTAATTTGACTAAATTGAGACAATTATAAATTTATATCAAAATCAAATCCATTAAAATTATAAAATCAAAAATGATATAAAAGTAAGAATTACTAATATAATTTGTCTAAATAAATGAAAAGTTGACAATTTTGAAATTGTTTTGCTTTTTTATAGCATAAAAAGTTTAAGATTCATTATTTTTTTATTGTCCCAAATTTTGAAAAATAAATTTGACAGGGTATTAACTAAAAGTGACGATTCATTTTACTGAAAAATCGATAATCACATTCTAGAAATTTACATAGTCCAAAATAATATAGTACTCAAAATATAAAGACTAGTGGTCCAAATAGTTTGCCCAAATATACTTTAAGCGTTGATTCTAGTAGTGGTCCCACTGCAAGTCAACAAGTTTGGAAGTAAGTGAAGAAAAAGCTGTAGTTGGAATTAGAAAGCAAGAGTGAATGGAACATTTTGAGATTGAAATTGTTAGAGAAATAGAAGACAAACAAACGTGTGATTGGTGGGATAAAGAGAGGGAAACATTTCAAAGTCATCCAACCAATACAAGGTCTAGCCTCTGGCTCTTTATGTTAAATAAGTCAACTTTAATCAAACTTTTTCCATCATTATGTCATAATTTTTTCTATTTTTATTTTAGTTAAATATTGATCTTGTGTACTGACACGCCCCACTTTTTATTACTCAAAGTATTACCAATTTCATTTACTTAATTCCATCTCAGAGATAACATACGGAAATAAACTCGTATATTCAACTTGTAGAAGTGAATAACATTGCTCTCATTCGTATGCAAGTAAATACAACATGAGTACACTAAATAAATTGCCCTTGGGCTTACATCATTAAAAGTCAAGAAGAAGGGTATAACCCTTTTTACAAAAATGGCATTCCGCCAACACAAAAGAGGCCCTGTGGCCAACAAATAAGAAGATCCAAAACCTTGTGGAACATCCTGGCTATCACCTGAAAAAGATTCAACAACGTGGGATGAACATATAGTCCAGTAGGGATCTCAACATGATCTCCAACAATAACAACTTACAGATAGCTATGATCATGAATGTTCATTCTCATACTAGAATAGTAATGTGGCAGTTTATACAAAATATACATAAGTATGAACTTTTCTCGAAAACAGCCATTTCATTCGACGCTATAAGCGGTTCACCTTTTTTTCCCTTTTTATTGCCCATTTTTCCAAACTTTCATGACTATAACAGTTTTAGAAAAAAAACAATTTCACCAAGCCCATTACTCTTCCCCCCATTTTCCGTACTTACAACAAAATGACCTTTTTTGAAAACATGTTCACAAATACCCCATTTTCCTTCACACTTTCCAAAATCTCAAAATGGCATTTTGGTTTGTTCCCAATACATTCATATCAATACATGCATGCCTTAAATAAAAGGGAAATAACAAATCATCAACATGTATATAATCCACAAACGAGGCAGCACGGCCTTTCAAAACTGTAACCATCGCAACCCATAACATACTTAGATACACTGACGATAACAATTAAAACTCTGCTAAGTGAAAATCTCTGGTCCTCAAGGCAGGTATGGCGTGCAGAAGTAGAAAAAGAAGAAGAAGACAAGAGAAATAACAGAAGAAATTGATGAAGAACAAACATAACCCAACTCATTTTGTTTTCTTACAGGTGGAAGGATTCAGAGAGATATGAGAAGGAGAGTAGTTTGATGGATTGTGAATTTGTGATGGGAAGGAAGAAATGTATTACTCATTCTTATACACACTGCTGAGTCTTTCTGTGGTGGTGGTTGGTGGTCAAGCACAACAATTAGGTAATTTTTTTATCCATCGGCCATCATGACTTTTAAGTTCGCAACAGCTAGCCTTTGTCTTTAATTTCAGTGCTACCAAAACTACTAGTAACGGTTTTCCATAAATCACATGGAAAATTATATCGGTAATCTTTACATTTTATTTTTTATGTCATTTTTAGTTTGAATAATTTTGATAAGTCCAATTTTGAATTTTAATTTTAAATTTTGTGTTAATTTAGTTCAAATAAAAACACTGATTAGGGTTCTTGAAAGAAAATATTACTGAATTGGTTGAGATTGACTCATTGAATTGAATAAATTTATAATTTTTTATCTATAAATGCATCACACGTGCCATTTATGTGTCCATTTTTTATCCAAAAAAATTAAAAGTTATAATTAATTTGACTAAATTGAGATAATTATAAATTTATATCAAAATCAAATCTATTGAAATTATAAAATCAAAAATGATATAAAAGTAAGAATTACTAATATAATTTGTCTGAATAAATTAAAAGTTGACAATTTTGAAATTGTTTTACTTTTTTATAGCATAAAAAGTTTAAGATTCATTATTTTTTTATTGTCCCAAATTTTGAAAAATAAATTTGACAGGGTATTAACTAAAAGTGATGATTCATTTTATTGAAAAATCGATAATCACATTCTAGAAATTTACATAGTCCAAAATAAGGAAAATGGGTGCCTGCTGTACAGCAGGCACTGCTGTGCCATTTCAACCCATGGTTTTGCTTTCTTCTTTTTTTTAATATAATTTTTCCTTTGTTTTTTCTTTTTTATTGGTGTGTGTTGCCTGCACAGCACACCCTGCTGTGCTTAAGCACAGCAGGCACCCCTTATCCCCAAAATAATATAGTACTCAACATACAAAGACTAGTGGTCCAAATAGTGTGCCCAAATATACTTTAAGCGTTGATTCTAGTAGTGGTCCCACGGCAAGTCAACAAGTTTGGAAGTAAGTGAAGAAAAAGTTGTAGTTGGAATTAGAAAGCAAGAGTGAATGGAACATTTTGAGATTGAAATTGTTAGAGAAATAGAAGACAAACAAACGTGTGGTTGGTGGGATAAAGAGAGAGAAATATTTCAAAGTCATCCAACCAATACAAGGTCTAGCCCCTGGCTCTTTATGTTAAATAAATCAACTTTAATCAAACTTTTTCCATCATTATGTCATAATTTTTTCCATTTTTATTTTAGTTAAATATTGATCTTATGTACTTATTTTATGATCAAAATTTTCATTTCATCAGAGTTTCATATGAGATTATAAATGTGAAGAGTCTACTTATAAAGCAATTGTTTAGATTATGAATTTAGATAAAGATTTCAAAATAAAATGGGAAAGGAAAATAAAGAAAAATTTTAACTTATATTTTATTCACACTTTATTTCTTTTTTCTTATTTCTTTTTTTTTTTTTCCTTTTCAAATCTCTATTCAAAAATGAGTTTACGTTAGTTTGTAAATAAATTTTTTTTTCAAATAAAATTAATTGAAAAACAAATTTATTAGTAAAATTTTTAAATTTTTGTTTAAAAACCAATATAAACTCATTTTTTGAGTTTACGTTTTTTCCTCAAATTTACAAATTGAGACAACTATTTATAAACCAAAAAAATTATCAAACAAGTTTTTATGATAGTTTTTAAAATTTTTGTAAATATGAATTAAAAACTGAAAACAAAACGGTTACCAAACATGCCTCAGATGGTAAAAATATCGTATAATTAACAAATAATTAAATAAGTTACCAACGTAAGAAATGACTTATCAAAAAAATTTTAGGGTATGTATGGTTTGATTTTTAGAATTTTTTTTTAAAAATTAAAAATTAATTTGGTTAAGAAATAAAAAATAAAAAATAATTATCATTTAAGGGTAAAAAATAATTATTATTTTAACTTTTGGACAGGTTATATACATAAGTATGATTGTTTCAATTTAATTTGTAAAAAATTATTTCTAACCACTTGAAAAATAAAAATTACATAAAAATGATTTATATTTACAAAAATTATAAAAATTATATAGTTGATTATTATTTGCTATTATAAATTATTATTATATATATTTAATATTGGTCCCAAATTTATAAAATAAAATTTATATATATTAAAAAGATGTGAGTGTGTGAGTATGGTGGGTGTGTGTGTGTGTGTCAGAGAGAGAGAGAGAGAGAATGCTCTACCTGAAGAGTGAGTGCAACACTGAAAACGTGTTTTCAAAACACGTTTTTACATTTTTATTAAAAGCGCGGTTCCTAATCACGTTTTCTAAAAAAAAAAAATTTACTTAAAAGCGTGGTTTGTAATCACGCTTTCTTAATTAAAAGCGTGGTTTGTAACCACGCTTTTAGGATTTTACAAATTTTTCACGGGAAGACCACAAAAACGGTAAAAGCGTGATTTGTAACCACGTTTTAGCCTATTTTGAAAATTCCGTCCGAACTAAGCCTAATTTGGAAAATAGCTTAGTATTTTGACTTATTTTGGAAAAAGTCCCAGTTTTTTATCCATCAACCATCATGACTTTTAAGTTCGGGGCTTTTCCCAAATTAAGCCAAATTAGCAACTTATTTCTCAAACTAGGCCTAGTTTGGACGGAATTCCCAAACTAGGCTAAAACGTGGTTGTGAACCACGCTTTCACAGTTTTTGTAGCTGTCGCGCGTAAATTTTGTGAAATTGTAAAAGCGTGGTTACAAACCACGCTTTTAAGTAATTTTTTTTTTTTTTGCGGAAAATGCAATTGTGAACCACGCTTTAAATGTGCTTTTAAATAAATTTTTGTTTTTTTCATAAAAGCGTGGTTCGTAACCACGCTTTTACTGTTGACCAAAGAAAGCATGTATAGCGATCCCGGGTTTACCCTTGTTGTATAGTGATCCGGACATGTGTCCGTGGATGTTGGTAGTTGTTTATTATCTTGTTTACATCCTTTCTTACTTTGTATTTGAGTTATAGGATGTGTTGAGCGGGTTTGTTACAGGTTGGTTGAGTTTAGAAACCAAAACTAGTTGCCCAGAATTGTGAACCACGCTTTAAATGTGCTTTTAAATAAATTTTTATTTTTTTTCATAAAAGCGTGATTCGTAACCACACTTTTGCTGTTGACCAAAGAAAGCGTGGCTATAATCAACGTTTTTATTTGAGAGTAATAGTGCTATTGTTAACCACGCTTTTAAAATATATTAAAATGTGATCAAAATAATACTTCAGTTTTCTGTAGCTCAAATGGTACTGCATTTGTTTTGCTCTGGCAGAGGCGCGGGTTCAATCCACGGCATCTCCAAACGATTGCTATTTTTCAAATTAAATTCAACTCTTTTTTTTCCTTCCACTCACTTTATACTTTATATATTTATTATGTAATTTTTTTTATCAAATTAAATTCAACTCTTTTTTTTCCTTCCACTCACTTTATACTTTATATATATTATATAATTTTTTTATTAAAAAAAAAGTAAAATGTTTGTTTGGTTAACTAAAAGAATTCTCTACAAAATACAATTTTTTTCAAAATGTCAAACATAATTGTTTAAAAAGTATTCAGTGTGTTTGGTTTGAGTTTTTTTGGATTTAGTTATTTGAAAACTGAATTTTTTTTATTTTCGTATTTTTTTGTTTTTAGTGAATATTTTTAAAATTTTAAACATTTTTTTTACTTTTTTAGATGCACCTTAGTTAGATGTATCTAAAAAGTAAAAAATTTGTGAAAAAATATTTTAAAAAATTAATAAATACATAAAAATACAAAAAAATGTACTGAAAAAATGTATTTTGAAAAAAAATACATTTTAAAAATATTCACTAAAACTATTTTTTCAGTACATTTTTTGTATTAGTAAATATTTTAAAAAATTAATAAATACATAAAAATATAAAAAAATATACTAAAAAAATAATTTTAGTGAATATTTGACAGGGTATTAACTAAAAGTGACGATTCATTTTATTGAAAAATCGATAATCACATTCTAGAAATTTACATAGTCCAAAATAATATAGTACTCAAAATACAAAGACAAGTGGTCCAAGTACTTTGCCCAAATATATTTTAAGCGTTGATTCTAGCAGTGGTCCCAAGGCAAGTCAACAAGTTTGGAAGTAAGTGAAGAAAAGGCTGTAGTTGGAATTAGAAAGCAAGAGTGAATGGAACATTTTGAGACTGAAATTGCTTAGAGAAATAGGAGACAAACAAACGTGCGGTTGGTGGGATAAAGAGAGAGAAATATTTCAAAGTCATCCAACCAATACGAGGTCTAGCCCTGGCTCTTTATGTTAAATAAGTCAACTTTAATCAAATATTTTCCATCATTATGTCATAGTTTTTTCCATTTTTATTTTAGTTAAATATTGATCTTGTGTACTCATTTTATGATCAAAATTTTCATTTCATGTATCAATGATTAGTCACCATCTAATTGATGTACATGTATCTTACTAATGAGATGAATCTAGTATAATCATGCATAATCTTTGAAAAGTTGTCATATATTACAATTAAATAATGAAGGTAAAATCGGGATCGCTATATGTACTCATTTTATGATCAAAATTTTCATTTCATCAGAGTTTCATATGAGATTATAAATGTGAAGAGTCTATTTATAAAGCAGTTGTTTAGATTATGAATTTAGATAAAGATTTAAAAATAAAAAAGGAAAGGAAAATAAAGAAAAATTTTAACTTATATTTTATTCACACTTTATTTCTTTTTTCCTATTTCTTTTTTTTTTTTTCCTTTTCAAATCTCTATTCAAAAATGAGTTTACGTTAGTTTGTAAATAAATTTTTTTTTTCAAATAAAATTAATTGAAAAACAAATTTATTAGTAAAATTTTTAAATTTTTGTTTAAAAACCAATATAAACTCATTTTTTGAGTTTACGTTTTTTTCTCAAATTTACAAATTGAGACAACTATTTATAAACCAAAAAAATTATCAAACAAGTTTTTATGATAGTTTTTAAATTTTTG